GCATTGTTTCATTTGAATTCCAATTGGCTGGATGAGGTCACATCACTTTCCAAAAACAACATAATTTCTATAACTATTCTTTACTATTTATATTCATAGGTGCTGGAGCCCGGCACGGGCTATATACCCGGGTAGGGTCACCATTTCATTACTCAGGACAGCTCAATAATAAACTATTGAGCTGTGGTAGACCTGTGCCAGAAACATAATCGATTTGTTCTGTGAGGCTAAACCAGGATGTTCCCCTTTGTACACGTACGTATGTGAATTCAATAAAACAAATAAACCAAATGAGACCAGAATCTATACTGTTACAGCATGGAAAAAGGCAAAATTATGCAAGGCTCTGTGTGTGTGTCTGTGTGTGTCTATTAAGAACGACTGGATTCTACCTTCTGTATTACTCACACATTTTCCCATGAAGAAACTATGCAGATTTGTCTTTGTGATTATATGTAGTTACATCCCTTCAGGTCACAGAGCAAACAAAGAATCGAAACTGATATATCAAGGAGTTTCAAATGAATGTTCCCCTAAAAGCACTCAACGTCATTTGCTGCAATGCTGGAGAATGACTCAGCTTGTAATGCGCAGTGCTTGACACCATCCCACACGCCCTGTGACTCAGCAGCAGTGCCTCATTCTGCAACATTCTGTTCTTTTAACAGAGATATCATTGATTTAATGGAGTGTAATGTGCGTCACACTTTGTTCTTCAGCAGCCCATCAAAAAAGACATGATTAATAATAAAAAAGAAATAATTTTAGTATTATATATTTATATAATGCTGAATAGAAAGGTGCTGGCTTTCTAACTAGAGCTTTGGCTCATTAGGACCCTTACATCTTATCATTTGATTCACAAATCCATCCACTGAAGACCACTGGCTTCTCCATCACATTGTTCATGATGGTTCTTACTAGTTATACTAGTTAACTTTAACTTCAAAATGAAAACACATACACATAACAATGGTATTAGCAGGGTCATGATTGATTTGACTCTCTCTAAACTAATTTGTTTGTTGTCATTTTAGTGTATCAGCTTAAAGTGGACTTACCCTGTGCTGCTGAGAGTGCCCAGCATGTTGTGGCTGATGTCGACCACTCTGATCTGAGCTGTGGCTGGTAGCTGTGGAGGCTGTGTCCCTGGCCCTGGGTGAATCTGATTTTGTGGATGAAGACTCAGATCCGACCCCTGCCTCTGCACCTTGGGCTGAAGTTGGAGGCGAGTTGCTCGGTTCTTGGTGACCAGAGTCTGGATAGGACTGTTGGTGGAAGTGCTGGTTATGTGGATGCTGGCTATGCTGCTGTTTTCGGTGGTGGTGGTGGTGGTGGCGTTGTTTGGACTGACTGGTTTCAGGGCTGGTGCTAGTTTCATCGGTGAGGTGAGGGCCACCTCTGCCAAATCTGTCTCCTGATATAGGCCTCCTGTCCTTACGGTTGCTTCCGTGGTGTGGGCTTTGGCTGGCAGAGTGCGGGTGGTGACGAGGCGGTGGGCTACCGTGGTGGTTCCTCATGGAATATGAAATCAGTTTGTCAGGATTGGAGCTGTCTGAATATTTTCGAGAACTACTAAAAGGTGCTTTCTCCTGACTGCTGGCCAGTTTGGGATGCTGACCCGTCTTCTCCACTGGGGCTTTTCTGTGTTTTTTTGGTGGGAGCTGAGGCTTAACTGGGTTAGATGTGGGGGCTGAGGCAGATGTTTTTGCAGGAGTTTTATTATTATTAACACCCAAGCTGGTGAGATACGATGGACTTATAACGCTCTTTGTAATCTCATCTAGAAACGCAGAGAACTGTAATTTCTCCTGCAGAAAATTGGCCCTGGCTTGCTCTATGTTAGCTTGAGTAATTTCTTTACCCTTCTGCCCAGGACCTTGTTCTTTAGCAACTCTTGGGGACAACACCTCCATCGATTTAGTCTTACGAATGTCAGTATGAGTCTCCTTGTTCTTGAGGATACCTTTGCTGGGTAGCTGGTTTGAAGATACTGCTCTCTTGGGGGCACCGGAGACCCCTAAAAGAATGTTTTCCTCACTGAAAGCCAGACATCGGTTCAAACTAGCTGACTTATACAAAGGCCCATAGTTATTTTGCTTAGATTGTTCTCTTCCACCACTATCATTACTCTGAAAAAAGGCTTCATCGCTTCGACTGTGACCTCTGTCAAGAGCAGAAAAGCCAGAGTTCCCTCTTTGCTGTGAGCTTTCATGAAGCAGCTTGCCTTTTTTGCTGTGTTTGACGGTAGCGAAGACAATGGGCTCACTGCATTCATCTTCCCGGAAACCTATGCGCACATCTGGGATATTGGAGCAGGACAGAGAATGCTGTGGGCGCTCAGCATGGCGAAGAGTGAAAGGATCATTTGCGCTTGACTCTGTGTACCAGGAAGAAGAGGATGAGGATGAGAGGGAAGAAGAGGAAGCCCTTGAGAGAGTTACAGGGGTGTCATGGTCGTAAATGATCTCATCCTCTTCACTGTGGTGAAACTGACGGCGATAGTGAGGATCGTGGCGAGGGCTTTCATGGAGATAGTGACTGTGCTGATGGTGGCGAGGCTGCCCTCGGCTGTCATCTGTGTTCCTGTCACTGTCATCAAACTTTGAGTACCTTCAAAACAGGGAAAGTGTGTAAACTGACCATGTAAAAAGGGACTGTGCTTAGTATATTTTGTCTAAGGCTGCAGATGTTCGAGCTCAATAAACTTGCAGATTTAATCTTGCAAATAAATTTAGACTAAAACACAATTAGATATGTGTGGAAAAAGCCATCCTACCTGTGTGACTGAGTGTCTTGGCTATGGTGAAGGTGATGATGGCGATGATGGTGGATTTTCCGTGGCTTGAGCTCATCCAGCTCAGCCGGGCTCTGAACCGGTTTAAAATACTTCTCCATGACCTCTCGCTTTCCTGGTGGTAGTCTGTCGATGGGGTCCTGGTTGGGATGACTGCACTGGTGGCGCTGAGGGTGATCCGTGTTGGTACTCTGCTCTTTTTCCTCTGTAAAGCTACAACTTATCTCTCGATGTCAGTTACAAAGAACAATCTTACTGATGAATGCAATCATTCTGAAGATGAAAAATTACCAAAGCATGCAAATTAATTTCTAATCTAGCTAAAAAGAAGTTCAGTCCTTAAAAGTAGTCTCTTTAGTAATTATATCTTCTGTTAAAGGACTTGCATGACTATGTTTGTCTTCCTCAGGGTCTGGCTGCAGACTAATGGAATCATGGCTTGTGTGCAGGACTGTATGAATTCCTACGTGGTGTTTTGACTTTGCATCACTTCTGATGTGCTAACAGCTGGGTGGTCATTGAACAAACCGAAAGAGCATGACCTTTGTCCTCATTCAGGAGACAAATGAATCAAACCCTGTGGAACACAATCTATAACTGGGCTCATTTAAACCGCCAGTTTTTGCTCTTTTTTTCTGCTTTTTTTGCAGAATGGGATTTGGCCATCTGTTTGTTCTGCCCTGTGGGCCAATTTCAGGCATCTATCCTATTACAAAGTACCAATATTTATTATTACTTTGTTGTCACTATCATTATTTTTATAAATATACAAAAAGCACATCTAAGGGTTAGATATCTAAGCTATTGAACTGCACAATGCTACCTCATTGATTTTAAGAGGTTTCCTGCAACCTTTCCACTGATTCCTTTGTAATTACATTCTCTAGGGATGAGCGGTATTGCAGGAAGTAGTGAGCAATTAGAAATTGTATCACACTATTTTTTATTGTGGCAGGCATCCACTTTAATTACTGTTGGTAATTTGATTTGCTGTGTGTGGCTGATGGGTTTTTCATCATCAGCTGCATTCCCCTTTATGTTCCTGTTCTTTATACAAAAGCTTGTTATTTGATTTTGTACAAACTCTGTTTCATCAAGATCAATATTGTGATTTAAAATGACACTGTTAGTTGAGGACTGACGTCTGCTCATTATAAAAATTTCACAGCTCATCCTCTAACACCCATATAACCTCTATTTCCACTGGCTTTCTGTTTATTTTCTACAGTTTATTCTTTTGGGAGGGTCAGTCAAGTTAATCACACCAAGGTCCCGATCACCCTTTGGAAAAGCTTTGTTTTCCTTGATTATCACTTGAATGATAAGGCAGGGGTTTTCAAATCGCTGCATTGCATTGACTGCACCCTTTGTAGCAACTCTGAAAGAGATCAATTCATTCGGATTCGGGAGGGGGCCTGAAAGTAGCCAGAGGACAGCTCCCCACTCTGGATTGTTGCTGATCAATGGCTTGCCATCATAATAAACGTAGCTGCTTAAGGGAAGTTGCCCAGACTTGATTTTTTTTTTTTTTAGCATTGATATAGTCAATGCTAAAAAGCAGTCCTGTTAATGTAAACACGTGTGAGGAACATGGTGACCCCATTGTTATCCGAGGTACGTGACTAACTGCACGCACCCTCTGCTGGTAAAGATCAGGAACTCCTGCTTGGATCTAGTAATTTTCCACCTTTCCTCCAGCAACACATTTTAAGGCTCTGGTTGTTTCTAGACGTTTCTGGATTTATCGCGTACACTTTTCAGCCTATAATAACATTGTCTGAATTAAAAATCAAGTTTAACATCGTACAAACTATGACGTGGAAATTCATGAACTGTGAAAGCACACTATACATTTGATTAAAAAAAGACTGTAAACACCATCAGCTTTTTACAGTAGCTTCTAAATCTTACATAAAAAGAAAAACTTTATTGTACATTGGACATCTCAGTTAAAGAAGATGAGCTGGCTGTTTTCTTCTGTTATTCAATCAAAAAAACAGCATATCACTGCAGTAAAAAGCAAGTAGATCCGACAACTCCGCTACGTTCTAGTTTGATCCGGTTTGCGGGGCCTTGTTACAGCTAAAAAAAAATATTAGTCCGCGCACCATTTCCCGTGACGTCAGCTGTTTTGACCGTTAGTTTTTAGTAGGTTTATTAAAAAGGTTCATTTTTTTGTTACAGTATATCTCGCTGTTTTGTCACTCATGTGTTGGCAAATGGTGAAATTAAGTTTAAATTAACCAGAAACACCAAAACAACGTGTTATTTGCAACTATTATTAGAAGGCTTCTAAGAATAGAAATCTGAATTATTTGTGCCTCATTACCGAATTCAACAGTACTGCGTTTATTCACGCACATTGGTTCGTGTGTTATTTTCATTCTAAAGCTAAAATAAACAAATACATGGGTTTGTTTTTGTTTAAAAAAAGGGGACTACTTTAGCGGATGAGTACCACATTTTCTTGTAGCCGTATCACTATAACAATATAAATAGCGCTGGTGACGACGTTGCAACTTACACCGCGTTGATGCTTTTCCGTCTTGTGGTTGGGCGTTGCAGGTTGAGCGTATCTTGTTTTTTTTCTCCTTTTTTGATCTTTTCGTTCGGGTTTTGTTTTCGAAGCTGTATAGCCTTACTCTATCTAGTCTAACGTTTGCGACACGTTTAATTTTAGCCTCTTGAGCATTATAGATCATTATTTTAATGCAAGTACTTTAAATCTCTAGATAACACGTGTAACGTGTTTTCGGTTTGTTAAACGCTTTTTAGTACTGCTTTATTGCAAATGATTAGGATTGTAGAAGATGATCACAAATTCTACTGAGTCAGAACAAAGGCCTGATTCTTTTTTGTTTTGTTTTTTGCCGAGGCCTGTTGAGCTAAAGCTAGGCTTAGCCAGCCAAATGTATACATTTGTGCTAGTATTGTCAGTTATTCCGCAACAGTTGTTTTGTTAGCTGTCATGTATAGCATTTGTCTAGCGGTGATCTTGCTTCTTAAAAATATATTCCAAGTAACCATTTTTGGTCATACTAACAGCAGTTGGCTCGAGATGGGAGCTGTAACGTAGAAACGTGTAAACGTCGTCTATTGGCTAATTCAAATAACGTCATGACGTAAGTAGACGGCAGTGGAAAAGGGAGTGGTCAGACTAACGGCCATTATCAGCCTTCACGTAGTGCTTTTCCAGAAGGTGTAGAAAGCTTTTAGCAACAAAATGGCAGAGGAACATTTTTCATACTTTTGAAATCGATAAGGCAGTAAAGTTAAGTGCCTAATTAGGTTCCTAAAGAGTACTGACTTTGCAATGAGGTCTCTTTAAGATTAGATCACAATGTAACTACAGTTGACTGAGTCTGTTAAATATTAGAAGATTCGTTTTTATTCTGAAGAAAGAAAATAAGGATGTCTTGTCGTGATCAGACGCAGATTATGAGAAGTGCTAGTAATTGTATTTAAAACGAGGGTTTGTGTAAGCTCGGAGGTACTATCTAACTACGATAGACTAGACCAGCCTGTATTTATTTAAAAAAAAAAAAAAAATCAGGAACAGATTAAGTAACAACAGCGTCAAAGAAGCAATGAAGACGTTTTTATTTTTTGTTTGATAGCTGTTACTTGGATGAGGTCCTTACCTCTGTCTTTTCACTCTGATCCCATTGATCAGGGAAGCATTTTGCAATGCAAAGTTTTTTATTTATTAATTTTTTTTAAATCGAAATTTTCGCTCAGTTTCCATCAGTCATTAGACTTGAAGTTTCAAGCTATCAGTTCTGCATTCAAAGAAAGAAGATAGCATAAGTCAAGTAATGCTGAAGAATGGAAGCTTATCTTAGAGCTCTAGTAGTAGCTCAAGCAATATCAAGTTCAGATTTATGGACTTCTTGAGAGGAAATTTAAAAAAAAAAAAAAGAAAGGTTCATCACTTAGAGAAGACAGAAGATTTTTTTTTTTTTCTTGGGGGGGAAAAAATGGACTGAGTTATCACGGGGAGGAATGGACTTAGTTATTAGATGAAGATCGCAGGACGGCTTGGAGCGAGGTCGCGGGACACGGGGAGGACCACAGAGGAGCCAGCCAGGCAGGACAGGACCAGAGGGCGTGGGAGGACCAGTGTGGAGCCAGGCAGGACAGGACCAGAGGGGCGTGGAGGGGAGGAGCAGAGGGGGCCAAGAGAGCAGGAAGCATCAGGAGCTGTCGGCCAGTGTGTACGCCAGAGGGAGCCAGAAACGCAGGGCAGTGTAGAAGCGCAGTGACCAGCCCCGATGCCGATCCAGTGCTGAGAGGGTGGGACAAGGGCGTGCAGTCTTCTAGCGTCACAAGTTTAAAGCGGGGCTTTGGTTTGTATACTGGGTAGAGGTATCTCTGTAACACTCAGTATTTGGTTTTTGTACTTTCCAGAAACATCTGTTGTAGAACAACTTCTCGCACAGCTCTCTCTTCCTCTTTTCAGGCAAGCCGTGTAAAGTGTTTTGTACCGTGGTCACCCCTCCTGTTGTGCGCTGAAATGTGTGGTGGTATCTGCTGTGATGAATGCCTTGGTAGTGTGCTGACGAGGAGCGTCTTAATGGACTTCTCTACCCCCCTGCGATCACAAGTAGTTTCCACAAGCGGAGGGAGAGGCAGTCCTTTTGTTGTTCGATAGGTCTTCCCCCAGAGAAGTTTTCTGCATTGGAGTGTGAAAGTGGATGGTCTCCCATACGGCCAATTGTGTATTCGGCAACCCTTCGGTGCTTCAGCTGCGCCTCTTTGGTACAGATCAGCTCCATCTACCTCTTAAACCCAAGCAGTGAGTTAATGCATGGAATGTACATGTGGGTGTAACTATCCTGTACATTAACTCATCATTACATTTCATAAGTATACAGTAATGACTTCACTCAAAAGGGAATTTGCATTGAAATGGTAGTTGATCCTGGTGGGTAAATATTTTTGGCTTAAGGGGAGGGGGGATGGGGGGTTGTTAAAACTTGTTTGGAGTCTTTCTTTTTACAGGCCTGGCCCCCTAACGCGATCATCGACAGAATCCCCCCCTTTCTAGCTGCTTGGTACAAGTTGAGCTCATCCTATATACAGTAGTGATATGGATCGAGATCATGCACATCCACTGTGCTTAAACGAGATATAGAAAGGTATTTGGTGTTCACTGACTCAATTAGTTTTCATCTCACTTTTATTTGGGATATGTTGTAAATGGGCTTCCATGAATTTATTTTTTTGGGAGGGGTGGGGTGTGGGGCGTTAATCCGTCTCTTCCTAGACTTCACAGCTCCACATTGCCCAGTGCACATGGCTTGAATAGGAAACATCCAGGCGCAAGCAACAAGATTCAACTGGACACTTTACAACGCAAGATAGCAACCTCAAAAGTAGTCTTCTGATGTAGGGAAGCTCCTTTCCCCCAGGGAGAGTGCGGTAATACTTCTCCTTACTAGAAGTCATTGTAATTCTGTACAGGCTTTACGTTGCTTTGTGGGGTTGGGAGGGGGCTGTGTATTTTTTTGACTCTTACAGATTAACTTGTAAGGCCCATCCTTCAAAAAGCTACGTCCAAGTCCATGCCTACAGTTAAGGAAGGAGTCCCTCATACTCAGGCCTGTGGTATTTTAAATGTTTCTTATGGCAAATGGCTTCAATCTTTTGTGAATTGTATTTGTAGTCTTAAAGTTGGCCTTGTTAAAGCAGTTGCAATTGCTGTAATCCCAGTATTGTCTTGTAGTTCTCTACAATGTTACTATAATGCCAGTGTTGTAGTTTTCTACCACATTGTATCAGGGCAGGGGTGTTGTGGGGAGAGGCTTTTCTTTGCATTTTTTCAGTGTGCTGTGTCCTGTGTGCTTTCAATACCCAAGACCATCAGGAACTCCTAACTCATTGTATGTACAAGTTTCCTTGCGCATCGAGCATCACGTAAGGTGGCTAAATGTGTTCATTTACTTTAACATTCATTATTTGGCTAATTGCCTTCATTGCAATTCCTTTGCAATTAGTTACTTTGCTTTGTATCGCCAATACAATGAGTGAACTATCTGTAAAGGATTTTCTTACTGCATAATAAATGCATAGCTTGTTGTGATTGAATACAGTTTTGGTATGCATTTGTTCTTTTTGGGGGGGCTTGTGTGGGGGAGCTTTTCTTGTGCTTTTTCAGGTATGACTAAAGCTTGGAGCTTTGTAGAGCACGGATGTGACCTGGGCTCGAATGACTTCTATTTCAAAGTGGAAAGTGAAGGCAGATAAGTTGAATCCATCAAATATTGATGTCGAAAAACCGAAAATTCTCAGCCCTATAGGGGTCACTTATCTTGACTGGACTTGCGTGTCCTCTTTCTTGAAATGAAAGCAACTTGCTATACTTGACAGTAGAAATAGCACTGCTGTGCTTTCTTAACAAGTCACTTGTGATAACGGGAAGATTTGATGGACCTTCATTGATTCTGACATTATCTGCAGTAAAGCATTTGGGTAAGGATAACAATGGTCAGTTCTACGATACTGTGGGGAGGGGTATAGGGGTGTTTCTTTTCTGCCTCTTTGATCTTACAGAACAATCCAAAGGAAGAAAGCAGTGTACCTAGGAGAACACAAGAATCACGCTGCGCTTTGAACTCCACCAACATGCAGTTTGAACAAAAGGAGTCAGGTTTTTGATGTGTTTACATATATTAGAGCATTTAGCCCTCAGCTGCTTGCCCTTGTGCAACTGTACAAGTGGCAGGTTGGTCACCTTAGCAACCGCGCAACTGTGCGAAGTTTCAAAATTTAAGCAGCTGAGGAAAGCTGCGCATGGTGCGGCTTAATTTGGTCTGAAATGCAGCGCAAATGTGCTGCCTTAGTTTCTATTGTGCTATGGTTGTGGTTGGGCGTATCCCTACACTTCTCTTCACAGAACTCACAGTGCAAGACTGGTTCAAGTACGAGTCAAGTCCTAACCCGGAGCATGTAGTAAGCTGTTGGCTTTACTTGTCAAAACTTCTGCAATGTTGTAGTTGACAAAATGACATCTTGGAACTGGCTTTATGTTAACCTCAAATCATCAGTAACAATGCTTTACTAGCTTATTCCTCTTTGGCCTTGGGGCCCTATTGCTTTGCATCTTACAACCATAAGATGAGTAGAACCCAAATCTTTGAGTATTGTGTGGTGGGTGTGTTGTGTAGATCACTCTTTGTTTCAGATCATTCTCGTCTGTCCACTCCGATCTCGCCTGCCTCTGAATGCAAAGCCATCTGTGGAAGCTGTCAGCGATATGAGTGTGGCCCCTGAATGAAGTACCAATCCCCTGTGCGCTTGAGCTTAAATCTGAACCCCTGACGTCCTTCGCAGAAGCCCCCGCTCTCTGTGTTTGTGTGCCTTTTTCTTTCCCTTTGGTTTCTCAGGTCAAATTACCCCAAATTCTTAATTTTTCATCTGGGATGGCCTAACCTGTGATGGAACACTGAGAATCCAGTCACATTAAGATCAAGAGCTGCAAGCTTGTTTTCGCTAATACTGCATCACTTCAGTCTCGTGGGTGCTAAGTTAAGTAATTTCGGTTCCCTTGATTTTTCTTTAACATACCATGGCTTTAATGTGTAACTCAACATGTTGCATGCACATCAGCTATGCATAACATTTTATTTGTAAAACAATGTTCATAAAGTCGTTGTCAAACATTGCAGTAGTGCTATGGTTAGGAGGGTCTGGGGGGGGGCAAACACTCTTCTTTCTCCCTTTTTTCAGATTTCTCATTCAGCTTAACTTGCTACTGAACCAGACAACTTAAAGGTCTGCAGGGAGTCATTGGATCACTTGGTACTGCCAGCCTCTAGGGTTCATTTAATACATTGAAGAGCTGAGCATCAGAGGAAGAATAGCTGTGGTAAATGCTGCATCAGCTGTGGTAAACTACAACAATGTTGATAAATTCAATCTCCCATCATATTGGATGAGTCTTGGTACAAGTGTGGGGTTTGGGTGGGTGAGGGGGGGGCTTAAATTGTCTGTCTTTTTTCCCATTACAGCCATAAAATTGGCAAGAAAGCCTTCACTGTCAGTTGACCCGCGAATCGTGCTGAATTGCAGAGGGGAAAATCGCTTTGACAAGGGATTCTGGTATCGTGGTTTTATTATGGCTAAACGGATTTCGTGGAATAATACACCAATACAGTGTCGCTGTGGGGAATTTTGGGGATTGGGGAAACCAGACGTCTCTCTGTTCTAGTTTCAGCCTCGTGACCAAGAGAATCCCCGTGTGGTGACAGCATAATTAGCATCCAGGTGTCGGGTTTTCTTTTCCTGGAAGAACAAACTTGTTTTGTTCTTCCAGGTTTTGCTTTTGCCCTAACTAGCAAAAACAAAAAGCAAAAGACTCCGGTGATGGCACTCCTGACTCTGTCGGGACGGGGTTCAATTCCCTGCGGTGTCTTGCTTTTTTTAAATAAGCTTTGTGGGGCTGAAAGTATATTTAATAACACTTCAACTTTAATATGGCTTCCATAAAAGGACAATGTCTGGGTGGGGAAAATATTTGAGTGGAAATGATCAATAAAACTTTGAAACAATGTCTCTGTTTTTGTCTCTCTTCTATAGATAATTACATCAATATTCTGTAAATGACTTGATGTGGGCATAATGCACAAAGATTACTGGACATTGTATCAGAGATCTCCTGTGATGATTGGCAACAGTTTTATAAACCTCCTTTTGCAGTCTGTGTCCTGGACAATACCCTTCTTGAGGTCCATATCACATGATAACAAATGGAAGCGGTGAGGTCAGGAAAGAAGACCTGATCCAACAAAAGTCATCCTTGCTCTGGATCCTCTTTAGTACAGCAGCATAAAACAGTCCAGCTATTGCTGCGTGTTTTGATCTCAGGTCTTCTATGAGATAACTATGTACAGTGTCATGAACAATTAACAGCTACCTCTAATTTAAAGTAGCATTTTACTATACATGTATGTTGTTTTTTGGGGGAGAGGGGGGGTTGTGTTTGTTTTTAATGACACTGAAGAGCAGGATGTCTGATTAAGCTTAAAAGAATGTATGAATAAGGAAAACCTATTTGTAGACTTCAGCTATATGTTATGTTTTGTTGGGGGGGTCACAACCTCAACTAACTTATTTTCATGCTCATCAGGCAAATGGCAATAAAGGAAAGCAATGTCAAACCTTAAACTGTTTATTTAATTAGTTGGATACGTGGGAATGTTTCATACAATGCACAAACATGCAAACAAAGAAGTTCATATTGTATCCTTGGGTATTTTATTACTTGTGGCCTGTGACAAAACCAGTAGAATCAATGTTTCTTTCATTGAATCTACCAAAAATAACAGTTTGAGAGGTATAAAATATTTTTGCATTAACAAGGTATTATTTTAAGATTATGCTTAAAACATTCATTTTTTTTAAAAAAAGCTTATAGTTAAGGTTGCACCAGTTTACCCTTCCTGTTAAAAAGGTGTTTTTCCTTCCCACCATTGTTCGTAGCGGGACATCTGATTGTTACATTACGATATAATGTGTATTGAAGTGACTGTTTTTGTGAATTGGTTCGTATACATAAAATGTAGTTTAAGAAAAACTCACAATGGTGTGAATTGTGTCTATCTATAAAACATTTTTGTAAAATGGACAAGTGGTGGACAAAAGAAGTCATCTCAAGCACAGAAACTATCCACATTAGATGAAGACTAAAGTCAAATTCTTAAGAAATAGAAAAAAAATCCAGCAAAGACCTAAAATTGGACTCTAGAGATTATCAGACCCTTCAGATGATCCATTCACTGTTTGATGAAGTCTCATCAGAAATAGGGGTACAACATTGAGGGTCTACAGCCATCTGTAAAACACGGTGGAGGCGGTATACCTTGTTTGGAGAGAAATATAAGGAAACGAAGAGTGACCCAAGACTTTTTGCACACTAATAATGTATTTGATCTATTTGTTCTGATTTTAACAGATGAAGTTTACGGTCCAAGTCCTGTCTGAGCTGAAAAAGGTGCACTACGTTTACTTGCTCTCTTCACATTTACATTGCATCTAATAAAAAGCAACACTCAAAAAATTATTTTATAAAAATATATTAGAGACATATGCTGAGTAAGAATGTCAGCTTTGACTTTAGATTTTTTTCCCCATACTTATAAGATCTTAAAAGTCCAACTGATTTAGCGGTAGATGGCTCTAATTCTGACCAAGGAAATCAGCTTGGCATGGTCAATAACTTCCTTTAAGGCATGTCTAAGAACACATATTGTTATGGAAAAAATAACTTTATTGCCCTTCATATTTTTTAAGGATTTAAGGATTGTGAAGCACGTTTTAATCTGTAATAGAGAAGTATTCGTCGGAATTTATATTTTGCTACACATATTGCAACCGTTTTTTGGACAGGTGACTTTTTTTTCATCGACATTATTTTATTACTACCCAAAGCTCAGTTTGAGGCTTTAATTTGGTGAGAGAACGAGTGAGGGGAATTTATACATAATAAATTAGGTCTTTTATATATATATTTTCTCAACAACCTGAGTAAGCTTAACTTCTTGTGGAACTAATAGGCAGAAACGACGTTTCCGCGGAGTCATTTTACATCCGTGCCAGTCGCTAGCTAGCTAGTGTAGTTCACCTGTCGCTGTGTGTTTGATGAAGTGCGGAGCTAAGGGGAGATGTGGTCCTTTTTCGCTAGGGATCCCGTGAAAGACTTTGCGTATGAACTTCTCCCAGACAGCCAAGAAAAGTCCGGAATATGGACTCTACACCGGGGAAAGCGAAAGGTAAAAGCGGCATCCCGCTGCTGCTGATGCACTAGCAGTCAGCGTTAGCTCGATCGGTTGTGGGGCCTGCCAATAAGCTGACAAGTCAGCTTTAGAGCTTGATTTAGCCTTCAGATTAAATGTCAGCTCTGTTAGCGTTTTTCGGGTGTTTTTCATTCGTTCATTCATTCATTCAGTCAGTCAGTCTTGGTAGTCATTTATTTTTTTTGCTTGGTCTGTCTGTCTGATAATTGTCGCTGACTAGCCTAGCTCAGGCTTTTTGTTTACCCCCAGAGGCAGACACGTATTTCTCGCCACGTCACCCGTTTTAGCCGAGTAACGGCTCTTATTTGAGCTGTTTTAAAGTTAATGGTTTATTTCAGGAATGAAAGATTCCGTCTTAACTGCAGACAGCACTGCATACAGCCCACTGCTTCATTATTATCACCGAGAAGCGGAAAGCTATAATCTCAGTGTCATCATCTTCACCGCGGGCAGCCGAGCCCAAACTTCCTACTTTCGTCATCCTCAGTCACATTAAATGTCTTTTCAAAATTCTGTACACAGTATTGACAGTTACTTCTTACTGGTAATATTTTCTGCACGATGGCTACATTTATATCTATATTTAATACAGCACAGATGTAAGGCACCCATACTGTTCACATCAGTCCGATAAAATGGGAGTGTTGGTGTAAGTCAAGCTAGTACATAATTTACCCTAATTTCTGGAATTTTGATTGTAGGGTGAATGTAGATTTTTTTTTCCTATTATAATTGCTTAAATATAGCTATGATAATATTACCTGTAAATTTATAACACCAGTGAAATATTACAATGGAAGGAAAATGGGAGTAGTCTGTTTGCAGAGGATAGCTTCACTTCAGATTAATTTAGTTTTATTTGTATAGCGCCAAATGACAACATCAGTGGCCTCAAGGGGCTTTACACTGTAAGGTAAAGACCCTATGATATTAGAGAAAAAACCCAGCAGTCAGATGATCCCCTTTGTGCTGTACTTGGCTATAGTATGAAGTAAGAAATGTCCGGCAGAACCAGGCTGAGGGTGGGGCAGCAATCTGCCATGATCAGTTAAAGTTGAAGAAAAAGAGAATAGATAAAGTAGAGTATAGAGAAAACAGGGCAAAAAAAGCAAATACTGGAGAGACACAAAATTAAATGGCATGCAAGTAGGGATGTCTGTTAGTAACATGCATACTCAAGTTGGAGTAAAATTTTAGACTTGGACTACACCCACAAAATATTGACCTAATTAAGAGTGATGGCGTAATTATAACTTGCTGCTCTTACTCCAATCTTTCTCCTCAGACCACTGGAGAGCCAGTGTCTGTGTTTGTATACGAGGTGGCTCAGGGCACAGAGCAGCAGACCCAGCTCGCCAAGGCTGCCTTCAAGCGTATGAAGACCCTGCGTCACCCTAACATCCTGGCCTATGTTGATGGGTTGGAGGTATGTATTTTATTGTGACTTAAATTTAACAGAAACCACTTTGCTTTAAACACACTTTTCTTGATATTTAGAGCTGAGATTCCATGTTTTGTGTCTCATTTCTGTCATCTGCTCTTCCCTGCATATTAAACATTAAGACAGAGGTGAGTGGGAATAGGTTCCTGTGGGTTTGTAGTAGTTTTATAGTAGTTATAGTGAGTGAAGTAGCAGACAATTACACAGCTTTCTCTTTGGTTTTTAATGAGAGTGTAATTGACACACTAATCACGATTAGCTCAACTAAGGATATGATTTTACCCTTTCATCTGGAGAATCTATCCAAGGAATATGACCAGCAAACCATACAGCATTAGCTAATCATTTATTTAACCAGGGAGTCTCTTGAGAGAAAACATCTTTCACAAAGACACCTGGCAATGAAAGTACACAATGGCAAGGTTGGAAAATTATACAATCAAGCAGAGGAAAAACAGTCAGTAGATAAAAATAGAGCATGTTGAAGAACTGGTGCATAATCAAATATCCAGCAAAGCAATAGTAATTGCTTTTTCTTCTAAAATATCTGTGATCTGAACTCTCCAATATTCAGTAAATTTAGTATTAATTTATAGCATGTTTTTAATAGAGATCTGATGGAAAAATGCTGTGATGTACAAATGTGCTGTGCATATGATGGATAAATGCAAAAACCGGTGTGGAAAAGCTGTTTTCCTATGTCAAGTTACTGTTTAATGCAGTGACATAGAATAATTTTGAAGTATAGTTTTGCTTTTATTTTTTTTTTCCTTTCTTAGTTGATTGATGAGCTTGGTGTGGTTGTTACAGACAGAGAAGAGCCTCTACCTGGTTACTGAGCAGGTTACACCCCTGGCAGTCCATCTGAAGGCACGGGCAGAGAAGGGTGGTGTTGGGGAACTGGAGATCTCATGGGGACTCCACCAGATAGTGGTAAGGACAGGAGAGTCGAGCTGTTTGTGGCAGCTGTCCTCTATTAGTCGTCTCTCACCGTCTCTTCCTCTGTTTGCTTACAGAAAGCTCTGAGTTTTCTCATCAATGACTGCCATCTGCTCCATAACAACCTGGGAATATGGGCTGTTTTTGTGGATCGAGCTGGAGAGTGGAAGCTAGGAGCCCTCGACCATGTGGCCCCTGAGCAGGGAGACCCAAGTGGGGTCTCGCTCCCTGCACCAAAGGCAGTTTACCCAGACATGGAGAAATATGACCCACCAGAGATGTCTAACAGCAGCGGAGAGAAATGGTGAGTGTGACATTTAGAGAAAAAACTACCTGGTGCGCTTTGGCTGCACCCTTTTGCATTGACCTGTGTGTATTTTTACAGGGCAGGAGAGGTGTGGCGACTAGGTTGCCTGATTTGGGAGGTGTTCAACGGGCCGCTGCCACGTACTTCTTCCCTCCGTTCCCTGGGAAAGGTTTGTGTCTTCAATTGCTGTTTATCCAAAAACCTTATGATTAAATATTGTCCTTGCTCCTTGGAGTGCATGCTCTTATTTAAGAAAAATGCAGCTTTTAGGAATATTTAGATTATGATGGTTGTTGTTTAAAGGAAATTGCATGATTCTGCTTATGTAAAGAATCAGCAACAATAAACTGAACATATAGTGGGATAGCAGGGCCCTTAAATAATACATATGTCATGGTTAAGATCAACTGGAGAGAAACCCAAGAATTTGATGATCTAATATGAACCCGCGTTTGGTGCCACCAGGGAGAAAAAACTGTGAAAACAGGACGAAAGATAAACCACAGGAAAGAGGAAACAAAAGTT